TACAAGTCCCAGCATCCTCTGTGTTTAGGGAGGAGCAGTGAAAGTGAAAGTGTTGCTCCTCCGTTCAGAGCAGCAGGAGGAAGGTGGAGCTGATGCAGGTGAGTGTTAACATGAATATGTTTCTTCTTATGACATAAAATAATTCCACGCTGTTCGTGTCTGTGGGTGAAACGTGAGGCCGGTCGGCTCCTCTGAGCGCTGGTTTCCTGTAAGTAGAGAGGAAGTGAGTTTAGCTGAGAGAGCAGGAGGAGAGTGAGAGCTGTGCTGAGGCAGGTGAGTGTTAACACCGCTCTGACATTACTGTGTCTCTGTGGCGGGAACAACAGGCTCCGTCAGTGGAGGCAAAAATAATCAGACTTTGGTTTTTCAAAGGAAACTACTTTATGTTGGGAGAAGCCGCGCGCTCATTGGATAACGACTTGTCAATCTCAAGTTATTAGCCAATGAGCGCGCAGGTTCACAGTAAGACCCGCCCTTATCACGACAAAAAAATGGCGACAGAAACTCCTTTCAGGCTGACTTTAAACTGTTTGAGCCACTTCCTGTTCTCAGTCCCGGCGTCCTGATCACCGAGGTTTCTGTTGCTCTGATGTCTGATATTGATTATATCGGTAAACAGGCTGTAGACAGAAACATCAGGTCTGATCTGAAAATCCCTTCAGAAACAAACTTTAAGAGTTTTATGTCCGTGTGAGGCCGCACGCTGATTGGATAACCACCTGTCAGTCTCAGGGTATTATCCAATGAGCGCGCAGATTCACAGTAAGACCTTATCACAGCATTTTTTTTTAAAAATAAAACATCGACAGTGAAACTGTAACGTGTCCTGTGATCTATAAACACTCTGTGATGAATAATCTGAAGTCATTTTGAACCTGACAGTAGTTTCCTGTCACAGAGCTGAAGCTGCAGGCAGTTTTTGGCACCTTTATATTTAATTTATTCCAAAATAAATCAATAAAGGTAGAAAAGAACTCTCAGTGACATTAAAAATCTATTTTTAAAGACAGATGTGACCAAGTGCAACAAATATAAGATGAGATGTTTACAGATATTTGAAGTATTGATCATATGTAGAACACAGAGCAGGTCCAATAACAGAGTCATGCTGCTCACAAACAGCAGTTTGGTTTCATGAGCTCACTTCCTGCAGTGATCCTCAGCTTCTCTCCAAAGGAGCCGTAACATGTGGGCTCCTCACCATGATGATGATCCCAAACACACTGAGTTCCTTCATCCACCTGATCATGTACTTATTAAATAATGTGATGGTTTTGGTGTTTTTTTAAAGACTTTTAGCCTCTAAAATAACTGGTTTGGACTTTAGGGCCAAAGCTCCAACATTAGAAAGTCGTCAGTGTGATGCTTCCAGTACAACAGCACCTCTGAGTGTGTGTGTTTACCTCTCAGACTAACTCCACCCTGACATGAAGAAGATGGAGGAAGAGGACGGAGCAGCATCTGCAGCATCCAGCTGTGTGTCTGTGAGGAGTGACGGAGTTACACAAACACCTCCACCTTACAGTCATGGACCTGCAGCAATAATGTAAGAACACTACTAACTTTATTAGTCATTTCAACATAACCATGACAGAATCATTGATCTGTGATTGGTTCAAACTGTTTGATCTGAGTTTGCTTTTTATTGACTTGTTTTCTTGCTAAGATCTGAACTCGGTAAGTTTAAGTGAAGTCAGTGCAGCAGAATCAGAGAGAAGAGCTGAGAACAAACTGAGTTCATTCAGAGACAGAAAAAACCGCTGATGATTGGCTGACCTGTCAGCGTTATGAGGCAGACACAATATCACAGAGGGATCAGCTGATCATATGGCTGTCAGAGAGAACTGATCAGTTATTGATGTTTGTGTTTGCAGATGTCAGAGGTCACAGTCTCCAGTATCCAGCTGTGTATCTGTGAGGAGTGACTCGTCCAAAGAAAAAGTTCCTCCACACTTCAGTGATGAACCTGCACCAACAATGTTCTTCAATCATGGAGCTCAGCTGACCATGTAAGAGAGCTGCTGACTCAGAGTTCAAAGGTTGTTTCTATAAATGTGTTCTACCAGTGACATCATAACTTAACCTAACACTGGTCTGTGTATGAAGTATCATTTAGTGGCAGTTGTTAAAGTTGTATAATGATGATGCTAGTTTGGGGTGTATTTTCCTGCTGATGCAAATGCATCTACTTTGCCCTTTGTCTGGTGCTTTGGACAAAGACGTCCAATGAAACTCAGAACAACACAGTTTGCACCACCAGCAGGCAGAGGAAGTGGCTGACATCCAGAAATCCTACCAGTGGCTGAACAAAGCTGGACTGAAAGACAGCACAGAGGCACTAATCATGGCAGCACAGGAACAAGCTCCGAGCACAAGACCCATAGAGCCCGGGGTCTACATGGCTCTTTTTGGGGGGGTTGTGTTGTATTAATAGTGACTTTGTTTCTTTGGACCAAAATCTTTTGTTTTTCAGTTCAGTTGCAACATTGACTAACACTAATGCAGGGGTCGGCAACCTGCGGCTCTTTAGTCCTTACAGTGCGGCTCCTCGTGGTTTGGGAAAATAAATTAGAAGTATTTAGCTGAAGTGTATTTTATTTATGTTCTTTTTTAACTTGTAGTTCTAAATTGGAAGATTATTGTGATATTGAAATATAAAAATAAAATTATATTTTTTTATTTTTTCATCGTTCAAATAAGCGTCACACTCGCGGAAGCCGGTGTACCCGCCGAAACGCCTGCATTTATCGAGACTTTCAGCCCCAGGTAGGCCAATTATGGATCTTCGGATCCACATTATGTCAGCAGCTGTTCTCCACCGTGAACTATGTTAAAAACAAACACCGCTCACGCCTCACAGACGACAGCTTACAGTCCTGTAAAGATGAAAGTGACTTCGTACAGCCCCGACCTGCAGACGCTGTGCGCAGAGGTTCAGGAGCAGAAGTCCCGTTGTAAACATGTCACGGCAGACCCCACGATGTTTGCATGAACTCGCTTTTCAGCTTCTCTTTATTTACCACTTTTCACACACGGTTGCTGTACGCACACAGCCGGCTGTAGCTTTGCAGCTCACAGCCCGACACACCAACACAACAGCACAGACGTTAAGGCGGCGAGGCGTGATTGCGGGTGCCGCTCAGGTGCGTCCGGCTCCCCTGCAGCGGCGCTGCAGACCACGCCCCGCCACACACATTAACCAGGTAAAATACATATTTAGGCAGAATTTTGCAAATATCTATTTTTCATCTTTCAGCAGCATAGAGCTTTTTTTCCAATTATTTTTTAAAAGTCAGCTCAAGGCTCCAAAAGCACAAAGGAGATATAAGGGTGGCGGCTCACAGCAGTTTTTGTTTGCTACATCATTTTAGTTCAGCTGGGTGTCTTTCCTTTGGTTATATTTCTTTAAGAGTTCAAATGTGTTCATTACATAAATAACCTGTAATTTTCTCTGTAGCACTTCATGGATTTCATAAGCAACACACCTTAGTTGTTCACACAAAGCATAAAGGTAAAAAACAGTATATACAGTGTTATCTTCATTCTAGATGTCAAAAAGTATTTGTGGCTCCCAGTGTTTTCTTTTGCGTGGAAACTGGCTCCAAATGGCTCTTTGGGTCCTGAAGGTTGCTGACCCCTGACCTAATGGTATATTTTTTTTAGCTGGATCGTTCTATAAAAACATGAATCAAATCTGAGAAAAGTTTCCACCTGACCTGTTGAATGTTATTGAAGCCAGAAGTTTGCCTTCATACTGTGTTTCTTGCATGCCTTTTGTGGTGTACTAATTGATGTGAAATGAATGCAATGTGGTTGTGTTTGCAGAGGTCAGAGGTCACAGTCTCCAGTATCCAGCTGTGTGTCTGTGAGGAGTGACAGGTCCAAAAACAGACCTCCATATTTCAGTCATGAACCTGCAGCAACAATGTTCTTCAATCATGGAGCTCAGCTGACCATGTAAGAGAGCTGCTGACTCAGAGTTCAAAGGTTGTTTCTATAAATGTTCTGCCAGTGACATCATAAATGATTCCTAATGGTGGTCCGGGTACGATAATGCTAGTATCAATCGTAGTAGTAATGCAATCCAAGGTAATGATTTCTTCTCTGTTGCTGTGAACGTCTCTGCAGCCGTCTGTACTCTAATCTGAGACAACTATTACTGACAGAAACCATCACATCATCCAGTTTGTGTGTTTGCAGCTGCTTAAAAGATTTTAAACAGAGATTAATCAGTAATTCATGTGATGTGTTTGTGTTTGCAGAGGTCAGAGGTCACAGTCTCCAGTACCCAGCTGTGTGTCTATGAGGAGTGACTGGTCCAGAAACAGACCTCCAGACTTCAGTAATGAACCTGCAGCAACAATGTTCTTCAATCATGGAGCTCAGCTGACCATGTAAGAGAGCTGCTGACTCATTTACGGGTGTTTGAAATTCTGTGACCACTTTGTAATTTTAGTTTATATTTTAAAGTGTTTTTATTTGTAGTTGCCTGTATTTTTATTACACTGTGTGTAACGTGGTGGTTTGTGCTGTTTGGGATTGTTTTGGTGTATTTGTGTCAGAACATCAGATAAATGATTTCATCACATTTTAAAAGAAAGTATCAGGATAATAATCTGAACTGAGTCATCAGAAATAGAAAGATGGTCTCAACAGGCCACTGAGCTGATCTCCAAAGAAATGCAGAAGATTGAAGAGTCCGAGGCTGTTTATTTGTCACAGGCATCGTCATACACGTACAACACAGTGAAATGTGCTGAGCTGCTCCTGTGACTGGACAAAAGATTATAAACAATCATTAAATGAAATAATGAAACATTGTGCAGATGTAATGTTAAAGTGCTTTGTGCCACATTAGCACAGCATGTACTGACAGAGCAGTGCAAGCAGAACAAAGCAAATGAGCAAAGTGATGTAAACAGAGTAACTGAACAGAGTGAGCAGAGTAATATCAGCAGTAATGAAGCAGCAGGATCAGTGTAGCAGCGTGTGACGTCATAATGAATCAGGTATGATCTGAAATATGACAGTGAGACAAGAACATGATGTAAGGTCCTGTTTAAACCCTGATGGTGATGCTATGAGGGGAGCATGTTCTGATTTAGGACTTGGATGGTCTGAGGATAGAAGCTCCTCTCTGTTTGTGTCCTGATGGTGCAGAAGCTTCTGCCTGATTGTAGAAGGAGCTGAAGCCAGCATCATCCCAGAGGTGAAGCTCCTCTGTGTGCAGACCTGAGGTCAGATTCCTCCAGGCTGATGTTCAGGATCTACAGAAACGTGTGGTTGTAGTTATTGCTGCACTGTGTGCTGACAGCAGATACTCAGAACAAAGCGCTGCACACGTGTTCTTTACAAACATCTGTACATATCAAATATGGATCATGGCAGTGAATGAACATGTTTCTGTCATTTGTTTCATTGGCTTCTTTTTTCTGCCTGTGTTCATGTGATTAATGTCTAACACATAAACAGGTTTGTAATCAAACATCACATCATCAGGGAGGCATCATGAAACAAAGTTACTGCTGGAGGCTGAACTCAATTTGGTGGCAATGTTCAAAAATATCACTCAGATCATTTCAAAGCTTTTAGTTCTTCTTCTTCACTTCTGTAAAATAATAGAAAGAAAATCAGAACCAAGAAGTTCACTTCCTGATGACTGAACTCTTTCAAAATAAAGCTGAAAGCTCTGAATGTGACACCGCTGCTCCACCACAGTTTTTAGAGGAGGTCAAAGGTCAGTTGAAAGTGATGGATCCCAAACTTCCAGTACATCCAGTGAAGGACATAATCAGCTCTGTGATGAAGGCTTTTACTGTGGAGTTTGTAGGCTGATCACTCTGTGTTTAATAAGACAGGCAGGAACAGCAAAGGAAACTTGGATTCTGAACTCAAACACAAGTTTCTCCACTTTGACTTTTCTCTGTGACCATCAGAGCTTCTGCACAGTGTCATCAAATCTGGATGTTTGTCACTGACAGTCAATGATTTTAGTGATAAAGAAATGTGTTCACAGAGGGAGGAAGAGGAAGAGGAGTGGTGTCTGTGAGGAGGAGCAGCTGTCCTGCTGTGCTTTGTGTCAGGACGTCCTGAAGGATCCAGTCTCTACCAGCTGTGGACACTGGTTCTGCAGACAGTGCATCTCCTCATACTGGGACCAGTCTGCTTCATCAGGAGACTGGTCCTGTCCCCAGTGTGGAGAAAGATCCAGAAGCAGAGCTGGACTGCAGACAGCCAGTCAGAGCAGCTGTGTACAAAGTAAGACTGAACATCTGTCTGCTGATGGACTCATTTCTGAAAACTGGACTTCTTGTTGTTGTTCAGACATTGAAGAGTTTTCTGTCTGTTTTTCTTTCTTTCAGCAGATGTTGGTCTGCAGGAGGTTTTAGATGAACATAAGATCAGTCTGAGGAGGAGATGTGAACGTGTGACTGAAGGAAGTGATGAAACAGGAAGTAGAACCCTCCTCAACAGGATCTACACTGAGCTCTACATCACAGAGGGACAGAGTGAAGAGGTTCATAGCCAACATGAGGTGAGGCAGCTGGAGACAGCTTCCAAGATGGACGCCCTCCATGACACTCCAATCAGGTGCCAGGACATCTTTAAAGCCTTACCTGACCAACAGAGACCCATCAGAGTGGTTCTGACCAACGGCGTGGCTGGTGTTGGAAAAACCTTCTCAGTGCAGAAGTTCACTCTGGACTGGGCAGAGGGCTTGGAGAACCAACATGTCAGTGTGGTGGTTCTGCTTTCATTCAGGGAGCTGAACCTGATCAGAGAGGAGCAGTACAGTCTTCTGGAGCTGCTCCATGTTTTCCATCCAACACTACAGAAGGTCACAGCAGAGAAGCTGGCTGTCTCTCAGCTTTTGTTCATCTTTGACGGCCTGGATGAAAGCAGACTTTCATTGGATTTCACCAACAGGAAGCTGCTGTCTGATGTCACACAGAAGTCATCAGTCAGCCAGCTGCTGACAAACCTCATCCAGGGGAATCTGCTTCCCTCGGCTCTCGTCTGGATAACTTCCCGACCTGCAGCAGCCAATCAGATCCCTCCTACATGTGTTGACAGGCTAACAGAAGTACGAGGCTTCACTGACGCCCAGAAAGAGGAGTACTTCAGGAAGAGATTCAGTGATGAAGAGCTGTCCAGCAGAATCATCTCCCACATGAAGACATCCAGGAGCCTCCACATCATGTGTAGAATCCCAGTCTTCTGCTGGATCACTGCTACAGTTCTGGAGCACATGTTGACTACAGAGCAGAGAGGAGAGCTGCCCAAGACCCTGACTGACATGTACTCACACTTCCTGCTGGTTCAGACAAAGAGGAAGAAGAACAAGTACCACGAGGGACATGAGACGAGTCCACAGGAGCTGACGGAGGCTGACAGGGAAGTTCTTCTGAAGCTGGGGAGGCTGGCGTTTGAACATCTGGAGAAAGGAAACATCATGTTCTACCAAGAAGACCTGGAGCAGTGTGGTCTGGATGTGACAGAGGCCTCGGTGTACTCAGGAGTTTGTACAGAGATCTTCAAAAGAGAGTGTGTGATCTTCCAGAAACCAGTCTACTGCTTTGTTCATCTGAGCATCCAGGAGTTTCTGGCTGCAGTCTACATGTTCCACTGTTTCACCAACAGGAAGACAGAGGTGCTGAAGGACTTCCTGGGAAAAAAATACAGAGAGTCCTCTCTGGATGACTTCCTTAAACGAGCCATGGAGAAATCCCTCCAGAGTAAAAATGGCCACCTGGACTTGTTTGTCCGCTTCCTTCATGGCCTCTGTCTGGAGTCCAACCAGAGACTCTTAGGAGGTCTGCTGGGTCAGACAGAGAACAGTCCAGAAACCATCCAGAGAGTCATCAAGAACCTGAAGAATAACAAGAAGTTTAATTCCTGTCCTGACAGAAACATCAACATCTTCCACTGTCTGATGGAGATGAACGACCTCTCAGTACATCAGGAGATCCAAGAGTTCCTGAAGTCAAAGAAAAGGTCAAAGGACCTCTCTATGATCCACTGCTCAGCTCTGGCCTTCATGCTGCAGATGTCAGAGGAGGTTCTGGATGAGTTTGACCTGCAGAAGTACAAAGCATCAAAGGAGGGACGACTGAGACTGATTCCAGCTGTGAGGAACTGCAGAAAGGCTCGGTGAGTCCAGATGTGATCATTACATCATTGATCAGTGTCGGTTAACAGTTTAATCTTTAAATTAAAAACACAGTCCTTGGTTATAAAGTGCTTTACAAACACCAACATTACGGCTAACAGCTGGATTCTCCTGTTTCAGTGCAGCTAGCCAAACAACAAAGAGCCACTTGCTGCTAAAGACAGAGTGAAAGTGGACGGTATATCCTCCATTCTTAATGTAAAACACATGCAGTGAATTGTAATGCACCATCTGTGTTTCCCTTCATGCAGTTTTCGCTTTATGGTGGACTTGGATATTTAAATGTTTCCCTCCTGGAGAGTCTTGTTCACTTGATTAGTTTTTGTGAAGAGGATTCTCCTCACCCCGTCTCCAAGGGAGACACCAGCTACCCTTCAGAGAAAATTTATTTGCCCCACTTGTAACCACGATCTGGTTCTTCCAGTCACTGCCCACAGCTCGTGACCATAGGTGAGGGCAGGGACGTAGATCGACCGGTAAATTTAGAGCTTCGCTGTCACGCTCAGCTCTCTCTCTTCACCACGACAGACCAGTACAGCGTCCACCTCACTGTTACCGCAGCAACAGTCTGTCTGTTGATTCCTGCTCCCCTCCCCCTTCTTTACTCAACCCTGAGATACTCAGACTCCTCCACCTGGGGCAGGAACTTGTCTCTGACCCAGAGTGGGCACTCCACCCTTTCCCAGCTGAGGACCATGGCCTCAGATGCTGATCCTCATTCACACGGCTTCACACTCTGCTGAGAACAGCTCCACTGTGAGCTGGAGGCCATCACCTGATGAAGCCAACAGAACCACATCCTCTGTAAAAACAGAGACGAGACTCTGACACCACACAAGTGGAATATAAGGTCAGAGGTCAGCTAATACCTAATATGGTAATCCTGAGCTAACAGGAAAGGGAAATGCAGTGAAGAAATGGATTTTCAAATGAGGAGTGGAATCACCATTTTAAATGTACAAAGTAAATCTTTGATTTTATTTTTTAAAAGATTTTAAAATCATTTTAAAAATTGGAATTCAAAAATGTTTTTTTAAAATGAAATAAATGTACTCATGTTTTATTGCACAATTTATTATTGAAGCGTGAAATGTATTTTGATGTGTTTTGACTCTTCTGATCCTCCATAATATTGAGATTGTATAGAAGTTTTCAACATTTGCAGATTTAGGATTATACTGTACACTATTATTAGCATAGTATGTAACACATGGGGACACTAAAGCAGTCGCACCAGAATGTCCTCTAAAAAGAAAGCTTCTTTAAAATACAAGCGAGTCAGACACCGAGGGCACAGAGATGAAGCAGGTCTGATCAGGAACAGTTTATTACTGGGCCAGGGAGCACAAATAAAAACACCCTTAAAATGTACGTGATACAAGGTTGTCAATTTAGTAAAACTAAATAAAACAATCCTAGAACCCGTAAAACTACCATTTTCTATATTCACTAACAAACCCCTGCTATAATTATGCCACATGTTCATTATGGGTCCATCAGCAGGCCAGGAATTCCGGCTTTAGAGCAGAGTCCACGCCAGCCCCGTCTTCGGCAGACAAGCAAGAGCCTCCCATCTTGTCCTTCCACTGGCCCATCATATCCCAGCCCAGCTTGCGTTCTGCACCCGAATCCATCATGCGACCACCGCCACAGCTCCCCTTGCATCAGTGTCCTGTAAAATAACAGATAGTAAACCTGCTGCCAATCACACACGTTGTCTCCTACTGTTGCCGTTCCATGAGGTCAGGACTGGGTCGCCGTGTCACGCTGGCCATCTAGCATTAGCCTTCCAGTCTTGGGCTTCTCTCCTTCAGTGCTCAGCTAGCCTGCTTTTAAAAGGTCTTTACACAGCTGACACACCCATGCCTCAGCAGGTGGTCCCTATCAGCTAATTTGTCCCATGTGTAGCCAGTCCACAGTGGATTAAAAACTATGTCACATAAAACACTAAAGCCCATGCAATAGAAACAGAATAAAACAATGCAAATAAAACGTCACTCATAAATAAACACTAAAAATCAGAATAAAAACAATATACAAGATAAATACAAATTTCCACTGTGTGACATCCCCCCATATTTTAACTGTGACAGTCCCTGTCACAACATTCAGGTGTTCTGTCCAGGAGGGTGGCTGAACAACACTTGGCCTTGCTGGCTACTGTGTCTCTGGTAGTCCCTTCTTTACACATAACACATGAAACATCAGCAATAATCTGCTACCAACGAGTTCCTTTGAATGCATCCTAGAAAAGTTACAGCATAGGTGAGTTATACAGTCCAATTGCCACATCCAGGTAACCTGCTGTTCTTCCATTTCGTGACCACATAGCATAGCTAATGTATGGGATTATCAGAACACTGACTCCTCTCAGCTCAGCTCCTCTGATATCCCTTGTGGATGAACACTACTCATGAATACTCACGTGGCAATAAAACGTCTTTTCTGTACACCCCTTGCTCACAACCCTCAACAAGGGTAGCTGATTTAAACACTTAGCATTCTATCATCTATATCTGTACCCCAGGTACTGAACACTGCTCCCAAACTTGTATCCTGTCGACAAACGCCAAAATTATGTAGCTGCTAAGACTGGTGGACCTAAATCTTCACCTCCAAGTCCGTTCACATACAAGAGGAAGGGGAGTGAGCGGGTCAGCGCTCAGGGCACAGAAACTAAGCTGGCTTTGAACACACACCATTTATTTCCATAAAAAACACAGCCAGAATCACAAATACAAGTTAAAATCCCCCGTATACAATAAAAAGAGTGTTCTCAATGCGCTAAAAACCCTGCCGGCAGAAATAACTATACACTATTAAAACAAAGCTAAAAAAATGTTTTCCATATGCTAAAATTACCCTCCCACAGTCCCATAATCCCACAGTACAGCCACACGCGGGCGAATGTGCCTTATCTGAAACAGGAGAGGAATTTCTCTTCCGGGATGGAAACCACGCCGGCCAGAAGAACAAGGAGGGGGCTCCTGTCGCAGACCTGTCTCCTGACAGCGTGTCGCCGCACAGTCTCGCCCCACTCCACACCTGCACACGGCCTCCCTCGTAGCACCGTCAGATGCAGGCAGAGGGGCATCCCTGCCCTGTTGTGAATTGAGGGCCATCGCCACCCACTGTTGCTGTTCCTGCAGTTGGGACTGGATCGCCGAACGACTCGCGGCGCCCCACAGTCAGGCAGCAGTTCCTTCAACACACGTGCGGGCTTACACGCGTTCCTTTTTCTCCTGCTCACCTTTCGTGCGTCGCTCCTCTTGTCTCTGCGCTCACCATCCCCTTTAACAGGTCAATTTGGCAGCTGATAGGCCACCTTGGGGAACGCCCCCATCTGTTTAGTCCTCAGTGGATTAAAGGAATATGGTACAACAACATTAACACACATAATGTAAATATGAGGATAAAACCATGCAATATAAATATCAATAAACAAACATGCAATATAAATATCACAATAAAATCGTGCAAATAAAATCAACTCTATGTACCAATACACAGATTGATAAAACATAAATACACAAATTTCCACTGTGTGACAAGTATACTACTATACTAATAACAGTGTATAGTATACTATTGTACTATACACTATTATTAACATAGTATATTTTAACAGGGAATCTTGATCATGTTACATTTGACTTCTGTTGAGCTTCTTGAATTGTCACCTTCAGTTCCTTTCATTTACTCTTCCAGTGTCTTTGGTTTAAATGTATTTACCCTGATAACTGCATATGAAACAGTTCACCTCTTTTCACTCACTATTATCTGTTTGCCATAAAAGTGTTGGTGATGTGTTGGGAGAATCATTATTTTCAGTCTCTTCGTATAAACATAGTGAGGCAAAGATGTGGGTCGTGGTCCCTGATAATCAGACGTGTCTGTGTTCTGTTACATGTGACGTTAGAGAGGTTTTAGTGGAGATAAAAACAGGACCAACATCACTCGTGACTGCTTTCCTGTCTTCAGTGTGTTTACTGGTGGAGCTCGTCCTCCTGTTGCATCTGTCACAGCTGTTACGCTCCTCTGTGACTCCTCCTCTGTCTGCTGTCACACTGCAGGAGTTTTTGGTCATGGCGTGTGAATAACTGCCGAGGTCGGCTAAGACGACGCTACCACTCGTTGTCAGACCCTGTCACGCTGTCTGGTGTCATCTTTAGCCGAGGTTATTAAGTACTTCAAAATGAAACCAGTCTCTGTTTTCAGTCTCCGCCCTCTTTTGCAGCTTTGAGCCAGGTTGTAACACCTGTTAAAGTCACCACCTGTTGTGACCGGGGAGTGAGATGAGTGTGAGAAAGATGAAAACAACGTCTCATTCTGACTAGTTACTGGGAACTGATGTGTGATGATGCAATAACAAAGATTACTGTTTCTATGATTTTCTGTTTTCTTGTTTTTATTGATGATAAGGACAGGCAGAGGAGATTGGATGGATTTACTTCGTTTTATTCTTTTGCACTGAAATGGAGTCCAGTGTACAGTCCTTGGCGTTGCACATTTTAATATGTTTTAGCTGAGACTGTAGTGGGCACTCTTTAAATGTCGGGTCAGTTTGTCACGTTAGAGCCTATTTGTGCCTGTTAGTGCTGCGATGACTTCAGACCGAGCTGACTGAGGGGTCTAAGCTCATGATGCCACCAGCAACACCCGGGTCATGCTGCAGAGTTTTCAAACCCGACATAATTTACTCAGGTTATATCAGGTGATCTAAGAAAGGCCGCTTAGAAAGAAAAGCGAGTGCACTGCTTTAAGTGTCTTGAAGATGTTTAATCTGAACATTCAGCTTCTTCACTTCTAAAACCAAAAAGTGGAGAGTCCCAGATTTTAATCCTAGTGGGAGTGTCCCTTAAGAGGTCATTGACCAACTATTGATCATGTGGCTCATCACATGAGCCAAGCTGTGAAAAAGGGTGTGGGTGATTATCAGCAGCGGTTTCAAGAGATGAAACGTCTTCAAGAAACTTAAAGAAGTCACTTTTCTTTCCAGGCTCCTTAGATTACCATGACTGTATGATGAGAACCTACACAGACACATCAGGTGAAGGTTTCAGTGTTTTTGTTCAGTTTAATGTAAAAATGGAGATGAAACACATATAAAGGCTCGTTTACACCACTGAGCCCTGCTCTAAAACACTGACACAGATCTGTCTGTGAAGCTGGCTTTAACAAATAAGAGCTTAAAGTTTTAAACACATGTTTAGCGCCGAACTGTCCACTTTACTGTCTGTAGCAGGAAGTGGCTGTTTGGCACTGAAACGGGAGAATCCAGCTGTTAGCCGTGATGTTGTGTTTGTAAAGCTCTTCATAAACGAGGACTGTGGAGGAGGAGAGCCTGTGTGAGTCAGGTGGTTCACCGGCCGAGTGTGTCAGCGGCAGAAACAGCTGATCAGCGCAGTTTTATGCAGTAAAATAATCTTTCTGTTCCCAAACACATCCACACAGTTTGCAACATAACAGCCCACTACATGCACATCTCACCACAAACATGCATAAACCTAAACATAAAATATGTCCTGTACCTGTGTGATCTCTTTAAATAACTCACAGAATATCAACACTAACGCCACAAGTTTGTTGGTATTTTAACATTTTAACCATTGATTTTGAATTAAAACCAACAGTTAAAATATTTTTACACCAGAGGAAAGAGCAGCAGAAATATTAAGACAGATAAATCATTCTGTCTTCAGTCTCCATGAACAGCATCAACATCCTCTGGTGAAATTTCTCTTTCCTCCTTAAAATATATTAAATGTCAGTTTAATTCCAGATTAATGGTTAAAACATGTATGTCACATATGAACATGAGGAAATAAAGAAAAGTGACTGATTCAGTTCCATATATGCTCCAGGGAGGCGTTAAGGTTCATTGAAATTGTTCAGTTATTCAACTTTAATCTGAGCCGAGCTGACTTCCTCAGGAACAAATAAACACCGAGATAAACTTCACCTTACAGATATAATCTAAATGAATCATATCCAATCTCAGAGAGTTGACAGTCAGCTGTGTGCTGGGAGATATGTCTGTCTGCAGTGTACGAGCTCTGACTGCTCCCCAAAAATGTCGGAGTGAATACATTAATATTAAAAGTGTAGCTGGTGACACAGAAACAGAGGATTTAAGAAGTTTAAGTGTAGGTCGGGTCCACACATGTCCAAACACCTGTGCGTAGTCCTGCTTGTTACTGAGAAACGCACACTAATAAAATGGCCATAAGGCCAAAGCAATGGTTTTGACTGGTGTTGACCCCGCCCCCACCCTGAGTGTGGATGCTGAGAGAAGGGCCAGCTGTGAATATGAGGCTGTGGGAGCAGATGGAGAGAGAGTATGTCGGGGTATCCCAGTACAAACTTTACTGGGGTCAGAAATTAGACAGACTCCAGTTCCTTTGTTTGATTTATCTAGTTTGATGTTAGGAAAGAGATTCATGAGATGGAAAAACCTCCCAGTCTACTGAGATTCAGAAATGATTTCTACACATGGAAACTCCCTGAGTGGGAACAAAGAGTGTCCTGTCAGGAAGAGCATTTGGAATATGGATGTTGAGGATGTGACAGTGCCTGAAATCCTGCTGCTGTTCTGAACCATAGTTTCTGATCTGAAGGTCAAACAGAGTCATGATGGTTGTTTCTATTTGTTCCTTTTTACTTTAGTTCCCCTGAAATCAGATGTGATATCAGCAGCTCTGAGTTCATTCATCATTATTGTCCAGTGATGACATTTCTGCTCCGTTTGGTGACAGTCAGCAGATTTTTCCTGAGTGTGGACGTGAACAGTCGTACCTGACAGCAGCAGGTAGCAAACAGAGATCATCTTTCCAGCTGGAACTCTTCACTGAGCTGAGCTCATTCAAAATGTTCTGGATTCAAGACAGGAAACAGTCCACATGTGTGTCTTCACTCTGACTCTGGATCAGATCTCACTGACAGACTGTGGACATTATGGAAGCCTAAATGTGACGACATCTTCCTCCTTCATCTGCAGATTAAAGCCAAACAAAGATTCTCATTAAAAGTCTGCAGGTCTGAGAGAGACTCAATCGTTGTGTCATGTCAAACACAGTAAGAGGAGCTGAAGCACAGATGTGAAGAGCAGATGTTCATCAGATTATGACCTCACTCTGTTTTGTCTTCATATACATTCAGTCTGTGTTTATAATGCAGACTTTCTGCTTTTATAATAACACATTTTATATTTTCTATGATCACAGACTGACTCAGTGTCGACTCTCAGAGACTCACTGTGAAGTTGTGGCCTCGGCCCTGAAGTCCATCCCCTCCCATCTGACAGAGCTGGAGATGAGTAACAACGAGCTGCAGGATTCAGCAGTGAAGCTTCTGTGTGCTGGACTGGAGAGTCCAAACTGTCGACTGGAGACTCTGAGGTGAGTTCACTGACTGCAGCTGTTGTTGTTTTTCTATATTTCAGATCTTTGATTGATGTTTGAAACTTTCTTTAGTTCCTAAATGTTCAGGATGTGTCTGAAGACAAATGTGAAGAAGTTTGAGTGCTTTCAGAAATGTTGTGTCTTTCCAAACGACTGAACAACAGTTTTCCTCTTGGCTCCAAATAGAAGTGACAGACTTGAGCAGCGTTCATTTAAAGGCTGACAGAAGTGGAGTGGTGACGGGGAGATGTTTGTCAGGACAGCTTTTCAGCCTCCACAGGTTCATGTTGTGCTCCGTCAGTCAGTGAAGATGAAGTCAGTACTGGTGAGGCTGTAGAGTGTGTGAGGGATGTGAATAAGGCTGTTGGAGATCTGATGATAGCAGATAAAAACAGGCTGCAGAGACTTTGAGCTTGTGTGGAAACAGACAGAGAAAAGAAAGACATGAATGTCGAAGCTAATAAAGGTGAAGTTAGGAGCTGTGATGATGTTCATGTATCAGAAGCTGATCGGGCTGCTACAGAGACGACCCACACAGCTGCTGTGGTGAGGTTTGTGTTAAAGCAGAGGAACACAGGCCCACACATGACAGCAAAGCAGGTTTCAGGCTCTGTGAGAGGATTTCAAACAGAAGCTGGAGAAGAGAAAGGACTACAGAAAGAAGGCAGCTGAGACCAGTCCAAGTGTTTCCATGGAGCCCAGTCTAACATTCATTTATACACTAACGTACAGAAGTGAACGGGAAAATGAATCCATAGTTTCAAATGTAGAAACAGTTCTCAGTTCATTTACAGAGTTTAATACAGTTCATGAGGAAATGTTCAAAACAGCAGCTGAGAAGAAACCTGCTTCACAAAGTTGGATCCAATTCCAATAGTTTGTGATGCACTTTAACGCAGCGTGAGCAGTTCACTGCCTAACCCCACAGAGACTGTCAGTCTGGACTTTTCTTTATTTCTATTGGCTGTCAGTGAGATTTCAGAGCAATCAGAGACTGTGGGTCTGTGTATGAAGTATAATTCATGTGCAGTTGTTGAAGTTGTAGAATGAGAAATGGCAGTTTGGGGTATTTCCTGCTTTCATTGTCCTGCTTGTGCTGATGAAAATGTTTATTGACGTGTGAATTCATTCTTCAACGCTCGATTCTGCCTGAACAACGTGAAACTTTGCTTATTTTTGTGTAACACAATTCAAAGTAGGGCTGGGTATCGTCACTGATTTCTAGAATCGATTCGATTCAATTCGATTGGAATCTGGGAAATGTTGCCTCAGACAGTCAGAAATATTATAATTCAGATCAGTATATTTACATATTTTTGTATCTATAAAAGGGAAGCTGGCACTTTCGAGACTTTATCAAAGGTGTGAGCATCACAGCAGAGGCCTTTGTGTCAAAGTAGCTGAAGATAAAACACAGAAAAACATGAAGCGGATTTTCCTGGGATTTTATAAAAATATTCTGCAGTAGATCAAAAACACATAAACATTACCTGATGCTGCTGAAGTGAAGCAGAGCAAAGTTACACCGTTTTTATTACAAACACAGCGTTTTGCAGTTTTGCATAATTTTAAAAAGTTTAAATTTGTTCAGTATTGAACGGCAGAAATGAGGCTTTCTTTTTGAAAGCAAGTAAAAGGAAAAAAAACAGCGTCCGACAGCGCTGTAAACAACGGTAGACTTGTGCGTAACAAGCAAGCGAATAATACAGAAAACAGATTTTTAGACGGGAAACTGTTTTTGAAGTACAGAGAGAGAGAGAGAGAGAGAGCTGGGCATGACGTGTGATTTTATCTTGGTGGAAACAAACAGCAAAAGTCAGAGTGAGTTCATGACGATGTTTATGTGAAGCGTAGTTTGGATCTTCTTTTGCTGCTGGTTCAGTCAATATTGTTTGGAGAGAGATAAAACTAACAGCTTTAGAATCAGTGTAAAAAGGACGTAATAGAATAGAATAGAATAGCCTTTATTGTCATTGTACAGAGTACAACGAAATTGGAGTGCCACTCCCTTGGTGCAAGATTCAAAAATAAATATAAATGTAAAATATAAAAAGTACAATAAAACAATCGCAAGTATTCAAACAATAGTAAGTAAGATATATGCAGGATAGCAGCATTACTATAATGACAGTATGAATAGCAGCATTAATATAATGGTAGTGACGGTATGGTATAGCTAAGCAGGTTCAAACAGGTTAAACACAAAGCGCGGAGCCGCTGAAACATCAGAATCAGCGAGCTGTCGGCTTTCAACCCCGACTGTGTCCGTGCCATCGGGTGAGAAAAGCGACATCTCACTGATTCTGTTTCGCGGGTCGCGCTGTGTGTTTAAGTCTTTGTGCAGAATCCGTGTTCCTGCTCTCATTTACTGTCTTAACTGTTGTTGAAATTTTGTGAGATTTCACCAGAAATTCTGGAATTTCAAGCAAAATAAATTTATATTAAAAAATAGATTCAGGATTTTAATTAATCGATTTTACGTTATCCAAGCCAGAATCGATTTTAATCGATAAATCGATTATAAAAACCCACCCCCTAAAAGCAACCTATTGGACCCATTAAACACTAACATAGATGAATACTCAGATTTAAACCTTTATTGTTTCACAAAGGGTTAAAAAGGGAACGTCCACAGTTTAGACTGCAGCAGATTTTATTAAAGCAGTTTGACAGGAGCAAAGCAAAAACACAAAGAATAAGTGTTTCACATATTAATACATATAACATAATAATAAAAGAAAAGCAAAATAATGATAAAAAAGAATGAAAAAGTTGTCCAGAGCAGCAGGATGTCTGAGGTCTGCAGAAACACAAAAACACAGCAGCTAAAAATAGTTGTTGAAAGAAAACGAGGTGGGAGCTGCTGATTCCTGAGCTTTGATACTGGATTAGCTTCAGTAGTTATTCCCATCACTGCTGTAGGAGCTACATTTAGTCACAGCTGATTGTCTCCTTTGACCAATCAGAAGACTACTGTTGTAAAAACAAGCAGACAAAGAACCAATGAGAGTGAAGAACAGGATAAAGAGCTCGTGTGATGGAGGCAAAGCAATAATCAGCAGACTGTAGCAGTTTCTATCTGGATGAAAGTAGAAGGAGCTCAGCGGAGCTCAGTCCCATATCTTTGGTTAGAAACAACATCAGTGATTTCCTGCTGCTCGAGATGATTCCAGCAGCTCTCATTACAGCAGCTGATGAGAGAAACAGCTGATGGCTCACAGCTCGTACACTGTTGGATCTCCAGATGTTCACGTGGCTGAAGTCTGTGAAGAAACTGTGGTCCACGTAGTTCACACGGCCTCAGATTGGACTGAGCTCCCTGGATCACTGCAGCATCCTCAGCTGGTACATGGACGTCTCTGTTCCTCAGTCCTGGAGCCCCTGCAGGTCCGTCCACACCACCAGGTCTTCTCACTCACCTTTCCTTTGTCCTCGTCCTTCATCGGCCGTGCTGTGTCTTTGTTCCTGCGGTGTTGTTCCCACGATGCAGTGCTGATGTTCCCTCCTTGAATGCACAACAAGTACGGTGCTGGTCTTTCTCGGGTGGAGCAGAGACAGATTGAAGTCTTTCAGGCTTTAGTGCCGACTTCCCTGACAGAGGCTGGACTCCATGGTCTGCACAGGAGGCTTCTACACTGTGTGGAGGTGACTCCTGGACTTGAAGACAGGCTGCAGGTACATGTGTGATGAAGAGGAGCTACAGCAGTGTGATGGAGCTGCAGGTGTGAATGAAGTCCTGCTGTCCTGTCCCACCCTCATCTTTGCTTCCTCTGTCTTCTCTGGACTTGTCCTCCTGTTTCAGAAACAGCACTGCTTCATGCCGAGGGTGGACGGGAGCGTTGGCTCTGATTCTTTTACCGTCCACCACAAGGAGACACTGATGCTGACCTCCTGATTCATCTGCATGTGTTCTGCTTCACACTGCTCACCTCCACCAAAGACTTCACAAACATCTTCTTTCTTTGAGTCCAGTTTGTCCCACAAACACTTCCAAATCTCCTCCTCTGAGATTCTGCAGCTTCTTGCAGTGTGACTCAGCTGACTTCTGACAGACCACAGACTGGCACAGCATCCACATGTGTCTCCTTTCAAACAGGCTCTTGATGTTTCCTCCCACATCATTCTGGCCTCTCAGTCTCCTTTGTTCTCCAGCTCTGTAGCTCCAGCTGGTGAAGCTTCAGTTTTCCATGTTGGTAACAGTAAACTACAGCCTCTGCTGTCAGCTGGGTAACTAAACAGAGCTGCAGCACGTCTCTGCGGTGGTGCTACATCCAGCCTGCAGACGGCCGTCTACATGTTGTAGTGGTTTACAGTCACCAGGGGGCGCTGTCCCAGCCATGCAGGCAGTGGGCTGCTCTGCTTGTGCTGTTGTTGGTGAAGCTGAAGTGAAAGCGAGAGTTAAAACCCTGAACAGTGTCCACTGAGCTTCTCATGCTATTCTCATGCTCAAAGAAGTTTAACAGGAAGGACGACTCGTCCATCAGGCGTCCAGCTGTCCGTGACCGTGTCCACAGCAGAGTGTGACCGAGGCTTCATGCTAACACGCACACATGAAGCTAATACCACCACGAGCAGCTGCTCAGTGGATTTGGAGGACAAATGTCTGCAGCTTCTCACAGGCAGTATGCAGAATGTGGATCTCCACAAAGACTGTGGAGAGCTCGTCCCACACTCTAAATCCAAACTTGTCTGCACAAAACTTCTCACACGTTCCCGTCACAAGTGTCTTCTAAGTGAAGCTACCAGGTTCAGGTGCAGCTTGTTTATCTGGAGCTGCAGGAGATGATCCATCCTCACAAAGCAACACAGACAGCAGATATGCAAACACACAACACAACCAAAGGATTCTCTCTGCATGTCTGTGGCTGATGCTGCTGGAACGAAGCTGTTTGAAACCTTGTTGTTCTGCACTTTGGGACCAGAAGAGGAAACTGAAGCTCTGTGCAGAGGGTCCAATGGAAGCAGCCAAGCGCTGTAAGTGTCTGCTGTACAGGGATGCTGGTTCAGCTGTGGCTCAGTTTCAAAGTGTGACTCAATAAAAGCAGCAGGAAATCAAAGCTTGATGCTTTCATCAGTGTGGAAATAAGAAAGTTTCCTGTGACAGACGCTGGAGCTCTTTCACTCTCAGCTTCACAGTTTCAGCTTCAAACTTCTTCCAACATGTTTCTAACACGGCCACATTCCACCTTAATGGAGCTGATATCTTGTGCATCAGCACATTTTCTAAAGGCAGCGATCACATCTTTAGTTTTGGATGTTTAACTGCAGATTGTTTATTTGTTTATAGCACATTAATTACAGCAGCAGCGTTGACCACAGTGCTGTACAAGAATCCAAAATAACTATTAAAATAACTCCTAATATTAATATCACACATCAAATATCAAATAACTCTCATGCTGTATTAAAAGCCAGTGAATACAAATGTGTTTTAAGAGCAGATTTACAGAGACTGACAGCAGGAGCTGGGGCTGTTCGATAGAACGATGTATATATGATGACCATATGAAAACGTCTATCGTTTCATATCACGCTCTTTGTTTCCTGCTTATGTGTTTGTGTTTTCCAGATAAAGCTTTCAAAATAAATCTGAAGATCCTGTTGAGAGTTTTCAAAATAAACACAATACAGTACTGCGGTCGCTCGTTTATCGAGTTACGTTCTAAAAATAAGTCTCAGAATGAAGTAGCAGCTTTATGTTTTACAAGTATTATAGAAGTTTTAAGGCAGTTAAACCCTCACTGCACACTTTCTACACTTTTCTCAGACAGGCATGAACATTTTCACACTTTTCTCTCTTGTTTAAACAAAGTTCAAACCTTCATAGAAAAATAAGTTCATTATTAAAGAGTGAAAGCAAAGTGTTTCTGAAACGTGTCAAATCAGCCTTTGCTGGCATTAAATGAGCTTCTGTGTGAGGAGCACTCGTCCATGGCCTGGGCTCCTCGCTGTCAGGTAAAGTTTCATAAAGCTTTTGAGTTTTTCTGCAGATAATGTTGGTGTCCAGCACGATGTTCTTTTTCCTGCGGTCACTGAGCCACAAAGCCAAAGCTGACTCCATCCTTACGATGTTCTTGTTGTGGACAGTTACAACCTTTTTGCCTCCTTGTTGAAACTATGATGGTCAGCATCTTCCTCTGCCTTTGACTGCTACCACAGGTGCAAAACGTCTCGTCATCATTGTTGTTTGTTGGGGACAAAACGTACAAACATACAGTGCAGCACTGCAGAGTCACACTGCTGTAAATTTGAACACATTCTGTACTGTACAGGAGACACGGCACGAGATTGACTCACAATGGTCTACAGCCAATCAGGACGCAGAACACAATGCGCTGTAAAAAACAAAAACATGCAAAATTGCACAAAAAAGATCAGCGAAACAGCGAGGCCACCAAAGGTGAACTGTGTTACAGCGAGGGACCAGCGTATATGTGGTTGTTGGGACGATAAATGTCTTTGAGCTTGTGTCAGAAGACGAGCTTCAGCTTTCTGGACCAGCTGCAGTCTTGCCAGGCAGGTCCCACTAACTCCAACATATAAGGAGTTACAATAATCCAGCTGGGACGTCATGAAAACGTGGATCGCCCGTTCAAGGTTTTTAAAAGATAGAAATGATCTCACCTTAGATAAAAGCCTCAGTTTGAAGAAAGACCGCTGTACAACTGAGCTCAGCTGTTTTTCAAATTGCCGTCAAATATAAGCCCCAAATGTAATAATGCGATTTAATAAAAGAGCTGAACCAGTCTAATAGAGCGCCCTTGATGCCGCCATGCTCCAATGGTGAGGTCAAGATGCTGTGGTCAAGGCAGCAGTCAGATCCAAAAGCACAGCGGAGTCTCCTGATCAGTGGCTGATAAAAGATCATTAAGAACTTTTCAAAGTGCAGTTTCAGTGCTGTGAAGAGCTTTAAAACTAGACTGAAACCTTTACAACAGATTGCAGCTGAACAAATATAATCTTTTACAAAATCTTCGACAGGAAGGGAAGCTTTGAAATAGGCCTGAAGTTTGAGCGGACAGAGGATCCAGATCAGGTTTTTAGTACAGGCTGTACAACAGCATGTTTAAAACAGGCTGTACAACACCTGAACTAAGACTGCTGTTAAAAATCGCTAAGATGTCGGAACCAACAACCTTTAAAATCTTTTTAAACACGTGTTGGAACAACATCATTTGGACAAGATGATGTCTTTATAGCATCACATCGTTCCTCCACCTGATCAAACCACACAGGCTCAAACTGATCAAAAACAGCTGAGCAGGTGAATATTTTAGCCCCGGTGCGATCTCGGGCGAGAGTATCGATGATGGCCAAAGGGCAGCGTCCAGCTCTACGGCCGCTGAAGAGCAGACTCAACAGACGCGCGTGATGTGGATCCTACTGCTCTAAAACTGGAGCTTCTTCAATCCATTAAAGAGGACATTAGTACGCTGTTAAAAGAAGAAGTCAGAAATGCATTGAAAGAAGATTTTGACAATATAAGGGCTGACGTGCAAGGACTGAGAAATGAGATCGCTAACAGCATGGCGGCGACGTGCGGCGAAGTTGATGGAGTAAAGGTTACAGTGAAAGAAGCTGAGGATGGGCTGTCAATGTGGAGCGATGAGGTGACCACCCTGCAGTCTACAGTAGAGAGTATGAAGGAGGAGCTGTCTGACCTGAAGGATAAATGTGATGAAGGCAGGAAGCGGAGAGCTAACATCCACATCATAGGGATCCCAGAGGGCCTGGACTCGAGCTCCTCCACGGCCGTATCCGTGCTACGACGTGAAGTGCTGGGTATGGATAAAGACGTTATTGTCGACCGCTCACACAGGAGCCCTATCCTGAGAAAGCCAGCTGGTGACCCGCACGCCGTCATAGCCGAGCGTCACTACTACCAGGATTGTGTGGCTACGCCGTGCCAGGGCCCAAGCCCCGCTTGAGTTTAACGGACAACCTATTGCAATATTACGACTGGGCGATATGACCCAAAGTTCATATCTCGATATTCTTTAGCTGGATGGCGATATACGATATATATCTCGATATTTTTAAAGCCAGAAAGTTCGAACAAAAAGAGAGTTCTTAGTCAAAGCTGTGTTCCAAATCTCACACAGGCACATTTATTAACATACAGCGTAGATGTACATGAAACAATTACTCAGGAATAAATGATCAGCATTTATTAAATAATAATCCTCCATAAATAAAAGAAAACAATGTTGTGTTTGTGCATAACAAAAAGCTCACAATCGTGCAGTCAAAATGTAAACAGACGCTGAGCATAATAACAAGCAGCTGCTCTGTTCCCAGGTTCTACTGCGTGACTGACAGCCTGGAGTTTGAAACCCTCTTTGTAACCGTGTCTCTTACAGGTGCCATTTATGGTCCTTATACACACTCAATACAGTAATATTACGTTGAAGCAGAGTACGTATCACTCCGCGAGGCTCCTCGTAGCTGTAATGCTCCAACAATCCATCAAGCGGTGCGGCCTCGTAGCTGAGCAAAGTCGTACCAAAACATCTTTTGAAAGGTTTCTGAGCGCCGTGTAGCACATAAAATCGGTTCGAGGTCAGTAAGCACAACCAGAATTCATACATAAGGCGCACTGTCGATTTATGAGAAAATTACAGGATTTTAAGTACAGAAAATATAGTTTATGGTTTTCCTTTGATCTTAGCAAATATCTACGCCTCTAATTGGGACGACCACAGATTTTTCACTAATGTCTTTGCGCGGCTCCCCAATATGTCATCACACAATATCATCTTTGAGGGAGACCTAAACTGCTCATTATCTGCTATGGACCACAGTTCACACAAAAGTACACTTGGTCCAAAGTCAGCATGCGTCATTCAGAGCTTTCTTGATAATTATGGGCTGGCTGATGTATGGAGATTTCATAAT